GTGCTTTCGTTCGACTGTCAAATGAAATGAATGAATCAATCCAGGGTTCTTAGAGATAGGGAAACTCCTGGAGCCGGGGAGTCCCCCATCGTTGCGGCTAAGGGTATGCACACTTCGTATTTTTTACGCGCCGACGACGCGAGTTTTCCAAGTCCGCCAGTAATTAGAGTTGCGTACAAAAATATTAGTTTTTAAATATTCGTGATTAGTATTCGCCGAATACGAATATTCGGTAAATGTCTACTATTCGGCGAATACGAATATTCGTATTCGTATTCGTTGCATCACTCTTATAAATATATCAGTAATAAAGGTTTCTTTAAACGCTTCACCAAAACTTTGTTTAGAAACATAAATTGATTTAACGTAGCTTCGTCTTAATAATTTATAAGCAGATATTATTTACGTGATAGTTGATAGAATATTTTAAGTGCATGATTTATAGCAGGAATTTCTACTACACATTAGTCTGTTCGAAAACTTAACTTGAAGATATGGATATGAAACTATTGACTAGTTTTGTATTGAAGATATGGATATAAAACTTTTGAAGATATGAATATTTTAAGTGTATTTGGTAAAGAGCACAAATAATAGTTTTATTTCACCAGTATTCTCTTTCGCGAAATATTCTATAGGCTAAACTGCAGTAACGTATGTTCCTTGACACACTTGAGGCTTTGCATTGTGATGGTGTAGTCCGCTCCAAGTTAATGATGTTCGACTTTCACCAAAACACTACGTCAGAACACGTGATATTACTGAAGCGTCAGTTTCCCTTTTGTTTTTATAAAACCTGTTTGTACACATTGCTAATTAATGCTCTTAAATATTTTTAGAATTTGTTGAGATTTGCTACGTGATATTGGCTTCGAATACAATTTTTAATATTTTGTTCGTAAGGTCATTATTAGTCGATTTAATTAGAAATGCACAATTAGGTACAAACAGTGGGTGATTGCTAGTTTTCTTTCATTTATTAAAAATACAATATTAGTCAGTTATGAATAACGATTTCAAAGTTTGCTGATATTAAATTTCCGTTTAATACATCGCCTTACATCGCTAACCGTGGCCCACTGACCGTATTCGAGACTGGAACGTCACGAGTTTTGTTTAATACTGTAGGCAAAGAATTAATAATAGTACTACTGTAGGATACGGAGTTGGTCTTGCGTAAAACGACACAAAGAATTGATTCACTATATAACTTACTCAACGTAATTAGATAAAACTACTACTACTTTACTACTCCTAACCCAATAAACAGGTCATTAATTAGTATATTCGAGATAAAAGGAACGCTACGTAGGATCTGTGACGTAGGTACACGTAGGTAGGTAGGACATAGGACAACGCTGGTAGGATTTTTACTGTAAAATCTTTATTTATAACAAATTTTAATCCGATACATCTAGGTTTTCGACAATTAATTTTTACAAAGGATACTAACTGGCTCGGTAGTGGTTCTGAACTTGCCGGTAGGTGGCGATGAGTTAAACTTGAAATTCACTCCAGACTTAAATGTAAATTTAAATTATAAACTTGTCTACGGCGCCACCGATCGGGTCCTGTCATAAATATGAACCATCGTCTCGACGAAACGTTTTTAATTTTTATACGCGGTAGAGCCACGCTGCAGCTTTACTTAGGTCATAAGTTCTGTCAAAAACTTTTTATAAAATTAATGATACACTTTTTGATAATTATATAGAAATTATATATGAAATGAAAGGTAATTTAATTTAAAATAGAATTTTATTTACATTATTCAAAATATTCTCCCCTATTTTGAATACATGCCCTTAATCGACGCGGCCAATCGTCAATCGCAGCACGCAACACACTCACATCTATTTCTGCCGCTGCTTTAGCCAAAGATGCTCGGAAATATTTCAAATTCTGATGAGGTTCGGCACAGACTTTCTCCTCCAAATATTGCCATATCTTATAATCCACTGTGCTTAAATCTGGACTAGAAGAGGGCCAGTCAATTCTATGGGCGGTCAACCAGTTTTGCGTGCTTCGTGCTCTATGAGCTGGTGCAGAGTCCTGTTGGAATATCCAATGTCTGGTTTTGAACATTTTTTGAGAAAGAGGTTCCACTATGTTCGTTAGGACGGTATTTATGTACAACTCGGCACTGGTTTTTATACCTTTTTCACTGAAAAACTCCTCAGTAAAGCCTGAATATGAGACTCCAAGCCAAACCATGAGTGACGAAGGATAATGTGCTCGTTGAACCCTCGGAATACGCGTGCTGGCTTCTTCACTGCTGTGTGCATACACCTTATCATTTTGTATATTATAACTTTCTTCGATGTAAAAAAAATTTTCATGCGAAAACAAAATTTCGCAGTATTTTTTCCCGCGTACCGCCATAACAAAGCGCGGGATCTATCCAGCCTAATTTTTTTCAAACGCTCGTTCAAAAAATGTCCGGTCTTCATACAATAAGCTCGTAGTTCTAGGTCTTCATTGATCACTCTTTTACCGTGGTTATGCTTAGGTCCATCTGAAGAGCTAAGATTTTTTGTTTACGAACAGGATTTCGTTGGATTTACGCCTTCACTGCTTTGATGATCGCGGGTGTCCCTAACTGTACGAGGTCGGCCGGTTCTCTTACGATCTTCGAAGCTTGAATCTTCAGTGAATTGTTCGATAGTGTGATAACGCGGTAACCGCTACTCTATCTTCTTTCTTCGACCATTCCATATTTGAAAATGTATAAAAATTAATGTTTTTTGTATTTTCGGCAAGCGCAAATGTTATATTTTTAAAATTAATGAAGTTCATGTAGCCTGTATTCAATAATTTTTAAATAATAAGGCTTTGGCAGAACTTATGATCCGACTAAGTATTATGGTTGTAGCATGAATGGGCCGGCTCGACCGGGTAAAGACCACGTTCTTACAGAATACCAGCTTAATGCTGCTGTGTTTCGTATGGTGAGTGTAGAGAACCGGAGACCCGTTTTACTCGAATCCAGGCATTCCACCTTAGTCCTCAGAGGTGACAACGTATCTGCGTTTTGATTCTTAATCGAGGTTATATGTACATGTCTATGGGCCACAGCATCCACTTAGCTTCAAGTGGACTTTGTGCTCGTTTGTGTCACCTATATATATAAAAAAAAACATAATATTGTGTGAATATGACCTCAATTGGACGAGTCATTCAGAATTTGAAATACATGATCGTTTGAGTAAAATTAGGGTCACTATGATATTGAATAATTTCTTCTTATAAGGTTATCTGTAGTGCATATTCAATCAATGTTTTAACTTTTAATTAATGTAACAATTTGACTAGATTTATATGTAAAAAGAATACATGTTGAGAGATAATTCTTAAAGTTCGTTAACTCTGCGGTCTTTTATTATGCGAAATTTCGGTTACGGTTGTAGGTAATCAATGAAAAGCATTTTCAACTTCGTTCATGTTATTAGGGTTAGCAATATGCGGCGCGTCGCATCTAGGTTGGATAAAATGGTACCCGATAAGATGTGCTCCTTACCATCTATACAACTCTGTGGCATACGCGTTACCGTTTGCCGATGCGTACTGACATCGATTCTAAGGTTATCGCCGGTGTCAGCGACCAGCCGCCGCCTACACGCTCCACTGTATACAAACAAACTAATACACGCACGCAATGAAAGAAGTCTACACAAGCCACGGCTCTGCTCTCAATGACCGTATCTCTGACGCAGGCGTCTTACGGACGCTCTTGTTTACCATATTTCATACTTATTTTTACTGGTATAAAAATTGCGATTATATAATTTATTTCATTTAGGTATTTTATATTCTGTATTTTTTAAAATAATGAATAAATAATAAAATATTCTTTGATAATAATATTACACGTTAACTCTCCCTTGATGACAAGGAATATAAAAATAATTATTTCTATTTATTAAATTTTGGTTAAAGGCTTGAAGATATAAAATTAAATTACCCACATCATATTTCTTCAAATCTGAAACCGGTTGTCAATCAGGTTACCTTTTTTCGATGTGTCATCACTCATCATGCAAGTGCATGCTCAACATCGCGTCCTCCAATTTCAATATTCTTCATTGCTGTGAGATGTATCACGTAGGTTAAGTTATATTGAATTGTAGATTGTAGATCCGTTGGCATGTTTATTTATATTGAGCTCGACTGTACTTTAGGGCAATGGCCGTCCTTCCTTCCTATTATCGCTCAGCTATCTGAACACCATACTCATATTATTATGTATATGTTTGTATTTGTGCCTATATGCGTCAAGAACGCTGACATAATAGAATTCCATTGTTCTCTTAGAGTTTGGTGTTAAAACACATTTCTTATCTGTTGACGTTTAAATGTTTTGTCTGAAATATTTACTTGTAAAACGTTTAATTACCATTAACTAATGGACGCTAAAATGCATTGTCACTAAACCGCAAAAGAGTAATTTTTAAATATGTTATGAAGGTCATTTGAAGTTACATTTACGGCATATTACATTATAATTATTTAATGAAGAAGCACAATTAATAACATTGTATAAACATATAAAAATTCTGAAAGAATTATTTGACTCAATTACATTACACTCAACGTAAATCGAGTCTAATATCTTTCAGCGAGCGGTAGTGCGGTCACATCAGCTGATTTATATAAACAAAGAGTGTATGGGGAGAGCTACTATTAGACACAGCTATACACTTTGAAAATGTGTCATTTCCTTGACGTCTGCTATATTTTTGGGTTGAATTGTTGCCCTTATCTCGTCTTTCTCTCGGAAAGTATTTTTATTATTGTTTAGAAGAATGAGAATTGAGAATAGGCCGACCGATTGGCGTGTCCCGTTAACAAGCGCGTTACCTACGTGACGTATAAAGCGTGGGTTGCCCCACCAGCGCGCCATTACTACAGCGCTCGCGCGCGCGTTTGCACGTACTTACCGCTTCCAGCTCCGCGCTCGCTCGCTCTCTCGACTCTATGTGTATACAAGCCTACCAAGAAACATGCATATTTGTATTCAATGGCATGATTGGTTTTACCAAGAGACCGACGCGTCGGTGGACTCCGCCAGCGTCGCAACACGCCGGCGCAGGCCGCGTGATCGACGGCGCCCCCCGGCCGCGCCGCCGACGCCGTCGACGCCGCAGAGGATCTCCGCCGAAGAACTAGCAGAGGCGCTACGCCCTCATCTGCTATCGCCAAAGCGGATGTGGGCAATGGGATACCCATTAGAAATCGAACCAACCTCGTCAAAGGCCGTTGTGTACATAAATCCACCGCCTCGACCTAGACCTTTGCAGCTTACAACGTGGGATGTGAATGCACCGGAATTCGTTCCCGGTGGTTCACAAAGTGACAGTGGACGAGGTTCATTGGGTTCGACTCCACGCTCCGACAGTGATGAAGAAGCGGATGCAGTGGAACATTTGTGTGTGCGTTGTGATAAAATGTTTCGAATGACTCGTGAGGGTGAATATTTAGTGGAGGAGACATGTGCCTATCACTGGGGTCGCGTGTGTGGTAGTGACTCTCGTTACACATGCTGCAATTCAACGTTAGGATCGAAAGGTTGCAGCACAGCGCGGTTCCACGTGTGGAGCGGCACTCGTCCAGGTATGAATGGACCATTAGAAGGCTACGTACGTGCAAGATCACCTAGAGGAGGTGTCTACGCACTAGATGCAGAAATGTGCTACACCACAGCTGGGCTAGAGTTAGCTAGCATAGCAGTGATAGCAGCAGACGGTCGACTTGTGTATAAATCGCTTGTGAAGCCTAGTTCACCAGTAGTCGACCATAACACTCGCTTCTCAGGCATCAGGCCGCGCGACTTGGCGCGCGCGACTAAGACGCTAAGAGATGTACAAAACGATATCCTCGGATTTGTAGGCAGTGATACAATTCTCATCGGCCATGCACTGGACAATGATCTTCGAGCCCTTAAATTATTACACAGTGCAGTAGTCGACACCTGTGCGCTGTATCCCCACTCGCGAGGCTTTCCACTACGAAGGTCCTTGCGTGCGCTATGCGAAGAACTGCTGGGACGCAGCGTTCAGCGAGGAAGTGCCGGACACTCGCCGTTGGAAGATGCTCGGGCCGCCATGGATCTGGTGCTTCTCAAAGTTCACGAGGAGCGTGCAAATCGTGCCCGCCTGTCAAACCAGCTGCCAATGTTGCAGCCGTATGATCCATTGATTAGTTCCGCCTAGGTTTCGAGTGATTGACCTCGTAGTTAATAAAAGACGGTGGTTCTATGAAATAAACTATGCTAATGATTAATGTTTGTGGATTACATCCATGTGAATTCGACTTGTTACGTTGACGGAGCGCGCGTACTACTCGTGTATGTGCCTTCGAATTGCAGAATGGCAATAAACGTAATATTTTTATAAAGCTTGTTTAATTTATTTCATTACAATTGGTTGCGGTGAAGATAGAGCAGGGACGATTTGAAACGTAAGTATCTAGGTAACACACGTAAGTACCAAACCTATATTTTGAAAATAAAAAGCACATACAGCGGTAGTAGTTCAACTATCATATAATTATATTATCTTTACGCAGTTATTACGGAGTTACTTTCACTAAGCTAGATTTCTCTTAAACATAACATGCGTTATACATAACTGTTGCATATAGTAGCGATCGTTTCTAATTTTCTGTTAATATTTTTTTTCATAGCAAAGATTTTTCTTATTTTAGATATCTTATAAAACTATTTACATAAAATGTTTATGAAATGTATGTTATTGCTTTATAAATATATGCATTGCCTTAAATTCATTGTAAATATTGTTACATTCGAGAGCACTCTACCAGATTATTTGACTTCAGGGCCAAGTTTTTGCAAAATAATGAGACGTGTAGGTGGTAATCACGAAGACACCAAGGCTTTGGCAGATATACTGTTTATATGTATAATGTCGATTTAAGCTGACGCAAGGTAATTCCAGTCTGAGAAACAACACGGTATATGTTATTAACCGATGAATCATAATGTCTGGGTCAAGTTACAACTGGCGAGGAAAATTTTATCATACAACATTGCAGAAAAAAGTAATAATACGCATATTATTATAAATATACGCAATATCTTGAGGTCAAATACTACTAGCGTTATAGTCGTTCTAAAGAAGAACAATCGTAGGATTAGAGGTTGCTGGAGTGCCAAAAATACGCTTTTACTCTGTTGTCTATTATACTATTTATATTGTCATTAAGTGGGTTATAAAAGCTCGTTGGTAAAAGTTTAACACTAAAAAAATATCTAAATGTCAATTTTTCAGCTACATATTTAAGAAACATTTTGTTATGAAACATAAGATTGTATTAAAAAAGAAATATAACTCAAATTCACGTTGGCATTTTAACTTCTCAGTTCTAAATAAAAATATGAATATTTTTATATTTTCTTTTATAATGACCAAAATTCGTAATGGTATATACAAATAAATAATATTCTTTTCTTAAGTGGAAGTCAACTTGAATGCTAGTATTTGTGTCTACTCAGACGTATTAAGGTGTTGATTGTTATTGATTAATGGCACTTATCAATTATAAATAACTTTATCAACGTAATTTTTCAATTTTAGCTTTGTTTTGCTTGTTTCATTTGCAGACGTATTGGTCTGCAAGTTGCGTATTTAAACAGTCGACATTGACTACACTCTTGTTATATAATTATCTTACGTAAAGCTATGACGAAACTTAGTAGGTTGATGAGCGAACTTAATGACTTCTACCTTGGCTAAAGTTGAGAAATCATGAATACACGACTTGTATTTTTAGGATTTATTTTATGCTTTAGCATGGCATTGTATCTTGCTACTCTGTTTCCTTATTATTTTTATCATATTTAAAAAATAATTATGTTTTCTTGAGATTAGATAATAAACACTACAAGGATGGATATTTTTTATAGAATAAGGTTGACAAACGATCACACAGTCCTACTGATGGCAAGACATTGTATTTTAACTCTGTTTCCCTATATTTTTATCATATTTCGCAAAAAAATATTTTCTTAAGATTAGATAATACTCACTTCAAGTATGGATATTTTATTTATAGAATAAGGGTGACAAACGAGCACACAATCCTACTGATGGTAAGTGGATGCTGTGGCCTATGCATCTTTATTTAAAAATGCAAATGCGTTGTCACACCTGAGGACTAAGAAAGAATGGCTTGTTTTCAGTTAAAAAGATTCTCCCGATCTCTACACTCACGATACGACAGCAGCATTAAGCTGCTATTTCACACTGGTATTCTGTGAGAGCGTGCTCCTATCCATTCGTGCTACCACCACGATACAGCTGCAGCGTGGCTTTATCGCAAATGGAAATGACCTGATAGACATGTAAATGACCTTTTGTTATTTAGTATGAACATTTTCGAGTGTTTATTATCGCACGAGAAAGAGCAATGTCCTTCTGACCGGTCGGTTCGTGCATTCCGTATAATTCTTCGCTAAAATTAAGTTAGAATTTTATGCTTCTAACATTCGATACTCTACATACGTGTAGAGATAAAAGTCGTATCACACTCAAATATGAAATGAGGTCAATACATATTATTAAATCGGGCCGCGACATATTTATTTCCTCAGTAGATATCATTATATCACACAATCTGCGAACAACCGCAAATTTCTAGGTATTATCTAATCTCTATTATGTTCGCAGATGTTCACATGTAGTAGTAGGTGCCTGTGTGTATGTGTAGTGTTGTGAATGTGTGAGATATAAAAAACCTGACTCACAGGAAACACTTGTCTAATAATCTAGGTTATTTTTGAATATTATATTATATAACAATTGACTATTATTTATTATTATACGGCTGTACTAAGACTAGTTAGTAGAAGTTCTAAGACTCAGCAGTTATGACGTTATAATATGTTAGTTGTAGTCATTCACATTTCTTGGAAACGAATTCGCCCGCCGCCGAGCCGGTGCCCCGTCATTTGCTGGCTGATTGAAGAAGAACCCAAATAATGTGAATAACACGCAGGTAAAATTGTAAATACTAAAGATAAATTCATAGGAAAGTAGTGTATGCGTCAACCGCTTTTTAAAATTATATATGTATAATATTAAACACATTGTTTATTTACATCATTATTATTTTTTAATATTACTAAGACGCTTTCGCTTTGCTATCTACTGTTTAAAAACAATTAATTATTTTTACATTATATAGAATGTTGTCATTTTGGCATTATGTTCGTCTTGTTACAAAGATATGATATAATATGCAAAATGGATTTCTATATATTTGTCTAATTACAAAATTTAACATAACATTGGTGAGTTCCTATAAGGCTTAACATTACAATACAAGGCGCAGTGCGTCAACGGCTACAGTTACATCTACCTCCTCTCTACGTATACTTCTTTCACAATAAAACTGTTGCACGAACTGTTTCATCATCGTATTCACCGCAACGCAACTAAGCGCTCGTAAGAATCCCCACTCTTGTGTTTTTAATAAAAACTAATGTCCTGCTATAAATGTCTTTTAAAAATAAACATTATAGTATTTGGATCGGGGTGTTAAAAAAAAACCAAAGAAGTGAGAATAGAGCCATTAACCCCCAATTAAGCTCACCGTTATAGCGTAAAGAGCTTTAGAATGTGCTTAACGTGAGAGTGAGCAGGAAAGTGGGGCATCACATATCGTAGCGCGAGTATGTTTTAAACGCGTCATTCGTTTTTCGCGTTCTTTGTTAACGGTTTTTTCTGTAGAAGTCACAGGGCAGGCAGTGCGAGCACGGGTGATGTTATCGTGCTCGCTATCGCTTAACTGCCGCAGAACGCACAAAGGTGATATTACTACTTGGTGAAGGGTGTGCGTCGAAATGTCGTCCAACACAAATTGGACCAATGAAATCACATTTAAACTTTTAGAACTGTTAACTAATAAACGGATCATATAGGATCTAAAAAAAGTTTGACGTTAAAAACCACGCTTATATTGCCCACGAGCCCCCACGATACGACTGGTAGTGCCGTGCTGTGCCGTGGGATATGAAAGAAAACTTTGAAATAATGGCTAAACATTTTTTATTTACAGGCTAAGGGTGCAAAACGAGCACACAGTCCACCGTGGATGCTGTGCCCATAGACATTTACATTAATCCGCAATTAAGAACCAAAATGCAGATGCGTTGTCATCCCTGAGGACTAAGATAGAATACTTCGTTTCCAGTAAAAAGGGTTACCGGTTCTCTGCACCCTCCGTACGAAGCACAGAAATCTTAAGCTGCTATTTTTTTACTGTGGAAGCGTGGTCCTACCCCGGTGGAGCCGACCCATTCGTGCAACAACTTATATAGCTGCAGCGTGGCTCTACCACGAAAAAAAATTATTGTTCTTTTTTTTTTTTTTTTTATAAAGTTGAAGTAACAAATGAACGTACAGAGTGTACCTGAATCGTCTGATGGTAATTTGCCACAGCAGCCAACTTCAAACAAAGCTGGTTACAAATGCCTTGTAACTGATTGTTTTACTATGCAACACAATGCCCCGTGGAGAACATACCCGTGACAAAACAGAATATGATTAGTATTAGTAGCAGATAAGTTCCGCACGGAATTTTAACAAATGTTATTTTAGTATTAAAGTTAAAGTTACAGTCTGTATACATCCCACTGCTGGGCTCACACAGGCCTCCTCTCATTTCTGAGAGGATTTTACGGGAAATAATTGTCCACCGCGCTGCCCTAATGCGTGTTAGCGAACTTCACACTTCTTCGAGATATTTTAGTGTGATATGTATATACGTATTATATGTGTCTCAAACGTTTATGGTAAAATCTGGTTTTTGATCAAATTATGATGCTTTACGAACGACAATAAAACAATAAATTTAATAGGCATTTTTAACCTTGTTACTTCGCAAGGTCACAAGCTAGGGTGGATATGATTTGAATTTCGACAGATTTTAGTTAATTTATCTATTTCAAAATTTTTGTTTTTATTTTTTGTAAAATATAATTGCCATAGGCTACTCCGTTAACATACTGTATACAATATTTTTTTCCAGACGGTAAAAAAGGTCATCCAGTATATATTTTACCATGTCAGTCCGGCGAAAGGAGACAATGCTTGGACTGAAAATTAAAATTTATTAATAAGCCAAAAAAATCATCATAAAATTATGTTACTCCGTTTGCTGTCAGACATTTGTAAAAATTATCTGTTTCTTT